CCTACTCCCAAGGTCTTCTCCAGGAAGACTTTACTCCTTTAATTCCCTGCCCAGGTGAGAAACGGAGGGCTAGATAACCATGGGGGACTCCATTTCAGCCACACGGGGGGTACAGATCTCTCCAATCCAGCCATTTATCTGAAGTCAACTAAAATTACTTTATAAGATCTTCAACTGTTGCTGGGATGAGGAGTGGAGACCCCAAACTGTTCTTTAACTCATTCTTAAGTTCCCTAATGCCAAGCAGAAAGCCCAGGTACCTTGGGGAGACGGCCGGCAAACATGTTCACGGGCAGGAAAACCGAGGCAGAGAAATAACCAAGGTAAGACTCTCTTAGCGGGGGCTCAAATTCCAGGATTTCTTTTTTGAATGTAACTCCTTAGATTTTTTTCATCCATGATCAGCTTCTCCTATGCTTATGAAGACAACAATGCTTTATGATTTATAGCTGCCAGAATGAAAAGCTTATGTCAAATTGAATGCCGTGTGCAGATTTTAAAGCCATAGGGAAGTACAACCATCCCCAAACCTCAAATTTGTCAGCCCTTTTCTCCTGCCATAGCACTTTCCTGGCAATTACTTCATTTGAGCCTTGACATGGTCTTAAAGGCAGGGAACACAAATGCTTTTGCACCCTTTGGCAGGTGAGCAGGTTGGGCCAACACAAGTTGAGGGCTTTGTCCAGAGTGACGGGGCGGGGGTGTGTGGCAGAAACCTCATTTATGGCCCTGGTCCTTCCCATCTGAATAAGCTCTTAGGAAATAGACCTGGAGCCAGGGTCTGGACTTCAGAGTCAAGGTCTGGGATATATCACTGAAGGATTCTGGACCTTGCCTCCCATAGCATATCTGGTAGAGGCCACACATTCATTCCATAAATCCGTATTGAATATGTATGGTGTGCCAGGCATGGTCCAGGTGCTGGGGACAGAGCTGGGAGAGGCGGACAAAGTCCTGGCCTTCATGGGGCTTCCATCCTGGAGGTGGTGTCAGATGGTGGAAGATAGGGACAGAAGGAAAGGGTGGGAGGTGAGGCTGCTTTATGGAGGGTGAAGAGGAAGCTCTTTCGAGAGAGGGGATGCTTGAACCAGCAGTGTTGTGTGCCGTCAGGGTCCTTGCCTTAGCAGACAGAGGGACCGAAGAGCTCCAGCATGGGAAGAAGCTCAGTGTCTGAGGGACAGAGCAGGGCCAGAGGGCCAGAGTGGAGCTGACAAGCTGCAGAGCAGGGAGATGAGGTCTGAGCACCAAGTAGGCCATGGTCAGGAGTTTGGATTTTATTTGAATTGTGATGGGGAAAGCATATCTTAGCCCTTCCCACCTTCTCCTGTAAAGATCAAGAAAGAAAGAGGATGTGGGCGCAGGCGCAGACCAGGTGGCATGGAGAGTCCACAGAGACCCTCACAGATGAGGGCCACGAGTCCCTTGGCCTTTGGAAGGGGCAGGTGACATCCCTGGCTGTTGCCTCCCGTTCAGTGTTTGGCTCCTGGAGCTTGGAGTTTTCCCAGAATGTAAAGTTCTCTTCCCTGAAGCTTCAAGTCTTCTCCTAAAAGCTAGTAGGTACCCTGATAAGGCTTCACATCCCACTGCTGTAATTTTTAGGCCCTGGTGGCCTTTGGACACAGGCTGGAATGTCCCAGCGTGCCTCTGCAGGCTGCCAAGAAAAGACAGTCCAAGTCTGATGTGAGGGTGAACAGAGCAGGGCCCTGGCATGGTGGCCGAACACTTCATGCACCCAGCTCCTTGGACTCGGGAGAAGGGCAATCTGTCTCCTTATCCAGGGGCCACGTTAGAACATTTAGACTAATGTGGTTCTCAAAGTGTGGTCCCTGGACCAGCAGCATCAGCATCAAGTGGGAAGTTGTTAGAATTGCTAAGTTAAAACCTCCAGAGGTAGAGCTCAGCTTTCCGTGTTTTAACAAGTACTCCTGATGATTCTGATATCGAGTAGTTTGAGAACTATTGCTTTAAGGGAAAGCTGGGCAGATAGTTTAAAAAAAAATTCTGCTTTAGTTAAGACTTGGCTCTCAGTGTAAAGTCAAATCAGCAAAAACAGAAACCTTCAGGGCACAGGGATATGTGATGCCAAAACCCCAACCAACCACTGAGTCTAACATCTGAGTTGTAACTTCTCCAATTCAACAGAACTCTGTGATGAAACATATTAATAAAGAATAAACTCTCGCTACTTCTCCCAAATAGGTTCTGAGCCCTTAGTTTATCCTTGGCGCACTCTGGATGCTCCTGGGGTGGATATTCACTCATTCATTCTCATGCTCAGCTGCTGAAGATACAAAGATGGTAATACCCTCAAGTAGCTTGGATTAAAGAGAGGAGTGTGACTTGTAAATGAAACATTACAAGGCAGGGTAGTAAATACTACAAGAGCGTGGTGGGTTGGGGTGAAGGAGACAGAGGGAAGGAAGGAGGAGGGGGTCTCAGCCCAACCGGGAGGAAGGAAACATGGGAGGTTGGCAAGGGTTAACCCCGTTCACCCTGTCCAGTGGCTGAATCAAACCATGATGCAGTCAGATGCGAAAGCTCCAGCCCACATCCCTGCCTTCTCCCCGAGAGCAGAATTGTTTACAGAGCCCAAATACACCCATTGTCATAAGCGTGTGCTTGGGCTGTGAGCGGGGAGACCAGAGGAGTATGGGCACCACTCGCAGCCCCAGCCCCCTGGTTGCTGACCAGTGGCTCCTTTTCCTGATCGGTTTCTCACTGGTTGGTTGGTCAGCTCCAAAGCCCAGCACCTGCTTCTCGGTACAATCACCCTGATAGACACTTCCAAACCTCCCTTCTACCACAGAATCCTATCCATTAAAGTACTTTCAATTGAGCAAGGAAAGACTCAGAATAAATCCCTGTTTATATAAGCAACAGTTCAACAACTGCAGGCCTTCACATGCAGTCCAGGTAATTCTACTCATACCCATAGCATGGCCCACCTTTGATAATTCATTCATTTGAAACGATTTATTCTGCCAGGCCCTGACTCAAATGCTCCCCACATCGTGTTACCGATGATTGATAATTATGCGAGAATTTTTAGCCTCAGTGGTAATAAAGAACATAACAATGAACTGCTGTTTTTCACCTGTCAAATTAACAATGCTTCGTTTTAAAGAAAACAATGTGGAGCCTGTGAGATGGGTACCTATAGCACCATCATTAGTAAGAGCACCTGGGACATCTTTCTGGAAAGCAATTTGACAGTGTGCATCAGAACTAAATGTTAAAACTGATTAAACAGTTTATTCTAAGGAAGTTATTGGGGGTTTAGACAAATATTCATACCAGATACTATTTATTAAGCACATACCATGTGCTGTGCATCAAATACAAATGCATACATCAAATACATACAAATTATCTCCTCTACCAGCCAAGATGTTCACCAACACATTGTTTTTAATGACAAAAAATCAGAAACAAGTGACATTGCAATAATAAAGAATGCTTAAACAAATTAGAATGAGTCCACAGAACATAATACTATGCATGAAAAACTGTTTTTTTAAAAGAATTTTGAATGCTGTAGGAAATGCTCTTATATATGCAGTAAGATTTTAATTTATAAAATACATGTAATAAACATATGTGCATTAAAAATAACAAAGAGATGAGCGTCTGCCTTTGGCTCAGGTCATGATCCTGGGGTCCTGGGATCGAGCCCCGTGTCGGGCTCCCTGTTTAGCGAGGAGCCTGCTTCTTCTTCTCCCTCTGCCTGCCGTTCCCCCTGCTTGTGCTCTCTCTCTGTCAAATAAATTAAAAAAAACTTTAAAAATAAATAAAAATAACAAAGAGAAATAAGCCAAAATGCTATGAAGTAGAATGGGAACTTTCATTTTTTATGCTTTCTGTATTTTCCTATTTTTCTGCAATTGGCATGTAACCCTTTTATAATGAAAAGGTTATAAAGATTAGAACACACAGGTGACTTCCCTTTGGGTATAAGGAACTCCTTATCTCATTGTTCCTCCAGACAGCTGCCTCCTGGTCCGGTCCTGGTGAGTCATCCACCTCGTCTGCTTTTTGTTTTCTCTTTGCAAAATGGACATGATAATCCTGGCCTTTCCACCTCATGAGGTAGTTCTATGTCGCCGTTAAAACCCCAGGTGAATGCTAATCACTGGTATTACTAACACACTAACGCTTTCTGGGAGAGGTGATTCCCAGTGACTGTGACATCACCATTGCGACTCCATGAGGAAGGAATGGGCTCCTGGGACAGGGTTTCCCATGACGCCTCCTCTTCCCAGAAATCTTCCTCCTGCGTAGGTGTCCAAGAGGCGCCACAGGGGACTTGTCTATCCAGCAGCCACTGCGGCTCCCAAATGGCTGAAAGCTCGGCGGCAGACCACTGAGCCTCTAATCACACACTGCAGGTCGGCCGCGTTTCGGCTGAAGTTGCCTGGCGTCAGCTGGCTTGGGCCCCAGAATGCAGTTTGGGGCCAGGTCTGTGCCACGTGGCTCTCATCCTCCAGGGACCAGCAAGCTAGCCAGGGCATGTTCTCCTGGCAACGGCAGAGGTGCAAGAGGTCACACCCAATCACACCAGCACATTTCACACTGCTGTATGCGTCACATCTGCTAAGATCCCCAGCCAAGCCCAAAGTCTCGGGGCAGAGAAGTGTTCCCTTCCAGAAACTGTAGGAGGATCTGCAAACTCACATGGCAAAGGGTGTGGATGCAGCCAAAGGTGGAGAATTGAGATCAGTGACTCGATGTGGTGCTAGAACGGTTGGGGAGCTGTTAGCCCCCTGCCCATCCAGACCGAAGGAGCTGTGCCTACGCTACACCCCTTCTTCTCTCGTGAGCAATATTCATAGGGGGCCGGGCCTGGAGCGCGCTGGGGCTCTCACCTGGGCCACAGCACTGGCCAGCATGAAGGCAGGCCTCAATGCCATCCATCTGTTTTCCTCGTCCACTTTATTTCCAAACCTGCAGCCTGGAGCCATATTTTAAATGCTTTTTAATTGGCAGCATTCCTGCTTCTTGTGTTGCCATGGTTTTAAAAGGTTGTGTGTATTTTTATCATCTCAAGACCACATCTCAACCACTTCTCTGGTGTGTAAACATCTTTATGACTGGAGTCCTCCCTGGGAAGACCAAATGGATGTGTCCCCAGGCTGGCCTGGAAGGATCCATCTGATGGTGTGGTCTGTCTCCTGTGATGGGGGATCCACCCACCAGGACAGCACCAGAGGAAGGCAGGGAGTTGGGGGAGCTTCGGCAGATGTGCCTGATCAAGGCTGAGGAGATGCCTCCACAGAAATAGCAGAGACAATTGCAGAGACAGAGCCTAGTGTTGGGAGCTGGGAGGCAGCCGGCCATGCACCGGGCCTGGGCTTCAGGGTCCCAGTCTTAGTGGTGACGAACAAGGCCAGGCAGGAGGGCTGAAGGACCCAAGTGCAATCTGTGGCCCTGAAATATGGGGTCCAGCATAGACTAAGGGCCTCTCACCAGCAGGGAGCCTGGGTTAAGATGACTTCTTTTAAATGGAACCAGATGACTCGGCACAACTACAAAAGAGGAGTCTCCTTTTCCTCCTGAAAAGAAGCAAAGATGTAAGAGAAAAATTTGACCTGGTCTGTAATTCTGCCAAATAATGGCGGAAGCAACAAAGCTGTCCCTGTTGGGTTTACACCTGCCTCGTGAGAGCTCCCCGTCACTATCAAAAGCCAAGGGTTGAACCTCAGTCTCATTGTGAGAAAGATCATCAGATTCTGCCCCCAACACCTGACCAGCACTCCTCAGAACCATCAAGGCCATCGACAACAAGGAAGTCAGAGAAAGTGCCACAGCCGGGAGGATTTTAGGATCCTGGGGAGGAAATGCAATTTTTAGGATTTTAGGATTTTAGGAGGCCTGGGGGGGAAATGTAATGTGGTGTCCTGGATGGGATCCTGGAACAGAAAGAGACATTAGGTGAAAACCAAGGAAATCCAAATAAACTATGGACTTTTGTTAATAATGTATCAATATTAGTTCATTAATGAGTCCCGCATGGGGCTCCTTGCTCAGCGCAGGGTCTGCTTGGGATTCACTCTCTCCCTCTGGCCCTCCCTCTGCTTTCTAAATAAATAAACAAACAAACAAATAGATAAATAAAATCTTTAAAAACAAATTAGTTCATTAATTGTAACAAATGTACCAGCTGATGTAAGATGTTTATAAATACCGGAAATGGGGTATGGAATGTATTGGAACCTTCTGTACTATCTTAATTTTTCTGTGAACCTAAAACTGTTCTAAAAAATAAAGTCTATTTTTTTAAAAAAATCAAGGACCAAGAGCACATACTTGGAAGCCAGGTTGCCTTGGGTCCAATCCTGTCTGTCCTCACCTTGGGTAAGCCACTTCACCCTTCTGTGCCTTGGTTTCTTCATTGTAAAATGGGAATAATCACAGTAGCTCTGCTTGTCCTGGGGATTAAACTCTGGAAGAGTGCCTGGCACCAAGTAAGTGCTGCTAGTGTTTATTTAATACATAAAACTAAAGATGTGAGTCCACCTCACATGTTCTTTGAAACAAGAAGAGCACACATTAGCTGAGGTTTCTTTTTTCTTAAAAAGAAAAGAAAACAAGTGTTGGTGAGGATGTGGAGAAAAGGAACCCTTGTGCACTGTTGGGAATGTAAATTGGTGCAGCCGCTGTGGAAAATAGTATGGAGATTTCTTGAAAAAAATATAAATAGAAATACTATACGATCCAGTAATTCCACTATTGGGTACTTACCCAGGGAAAACACTAACTCAAAAAGATATATGCACCCCTATGTTTACTGCAGTATTATTTACAATAGCCAAGACATGGAAGCAACTCAGGTGTTCATCAATAAACAAATGGATAAGGAAAATGTGACACACACACACACACAGGAATATTATGCAGCCATAAGAAAGGATGAGATTGTGGCATTTGAGACAGCATGGATGGACCTAGAGGGTATTATGTTAAGTGAAATAAGTCAGGCTGAGAAAGACAAATACCATATGATTCCACTCATAAGTGGAATCTAAAAGAAAAATGGATAAACAAAAAGCAGAATCAGAACTATAAATACAGAGGACAAACTGATGGTTGCGGGGGGTGGGGGGGACAGTTGGGCAAAACAGGTGAAGGGGAGGGGGAGATACAGGCCTCCAGTTACAGAATGAGTAAATCACAGGAATAAAAAGCAGAGCATAAGGAATAGAGTCAGTGATATTGTAATAGGGATGTAATGGGACAGATGGTAGTTATACTTGTGGTGAGCATAGATAGCATCATGTATAAACTTGTCAAATCACTAAGTTGTACACCTGAAACTAGTGTAACATTATGTGTCAACTATACTCATATTAAAAAAAAAAAAAGAAGCATGCTCAGGGCTCACTTTGGGCTCCGCTATCGGGTAAACCCTGCAACGTGCCCCCTCGCTGCAGCATGGCCTGAGTTCAGCTCCTCCTGCTCTTTCTCTTGAACGTTTCCCATCCTTTGCCAGGTTCACATGAGATGTCCCCACCTGGAAGCCTCCACCAGAGTTGTTATCAGCAAAGGCAGATTCACTGCCTCCTTCTGTCCTCCCTCTTCCTTCAGCCCTGGGAACATCCTACTCAATCGGGGACCCAGCAATATTCCCAGACACCCCCAATCTCAGCACCCTCCCCCAGCCCCAGACCGCCCAGCTGCCTCTCCTGCCCGCGTGGACACCCATCCAGCGCTGAGCACCTTGGGAAGGAAGGACACGTTACCACCCAACAGGATGCTTGGGAAACGCGTGTGTTCCTTATTGCTCAGGAAGAGGTCTCCCTCAAGAACAATCCTGAACTTTGTCCAAACGATTGAGAGCTTGACACGAGTCATCTTCCTGCGAGCATCTGAAAAAAGCCTGTGTCCAAGCAGAATCAGACGCACACATCTGCTGTTTCCTTCAGTCCAGAGCTCGGGTTCCTGGAGCTATTTCCTGCTTGTGCTCACGGCCACACTCCCCCTCTAGGGCCGTAGGTAAAAGGAAAGCCAAACACTGCTCCATCCGACGTGGCCGCCACTGAAAGTCTACAGCTACAGGATGGGGCCGAATCTCCCAGTACTATTCCCCGGTGGGTTCCTCCACTCTCTACTGAAGAGGCCTGTTTTTGGCCCAAACTCTCGAGACACCAGCAAAGGGGGTTGTTCAGATGACCCTCATTTCACAGGTGAAGAAACCGAGACCTTCTGAAGACAACAGGAACTTTAGGCATGTTTCCTGTTTGGAGAAGGGGTTGCCATTTCCCATCCACCTTCTATCTGGGCTTAGCTCATTTTCTTTGCTTTTCTTTGCTCTCCATCATGCTGGTGTTTGGCAATGACCTACATAGACCACATGCCTAATAATAACATGGGCTTTATTAGCACCTAACATTCGAGAGCCTCTGGGGATTTGGCAAAAGCAATATTTACTAAATCATCTGCTTGTTGCAAACAAACCCTCACGCCTCTGGGGGCAGCCTTAAAGAGAAGAGGCTGCTGGCTGGGCGTACCTGACACAGCAGCCCCTTGACTTTTTCTCTTTTTCATTTTTTAATATGGAAATCCTGCCCCTGGCTCAGTTGCACAGGGTCGATATTCAACATATATAGCAACTAGTATGCTCAGGTATTGACCAGCCAGAATGGATGTCAGCCAGGGTACCCAACTAGGGCCCTACCCTCACCTCCGCCCCCTGTTGGCCAGGCAGTGCTCCTGAAGCTGCAGGATTAGGGGAAGGTCCAGCAAGTTCCAGGGAAGGGGTCTAGGTGGTCAGGGCAGCGGGACGATGGCTGTGCCACGTAATAGCGAAATAATTCAGTGTTTAACCAGCTGACTGCCAACCCTAAATGCACACATATTCTCAATTCCTAGAGAGTACAGATCCATACCACCCGGCTGGACATGGACTTACCCGTAAGCATACATGATGGTTGATTATGGCAGGCCAAGGAGCAGAGGTGTTTGGATTTAAGAACCTTGAGGATTTCATTTTAGTACATGCCACCTCCCCTATGGGCTACTGGAGCTGGAAGTGCAACTGGAGATGGGTTGGGTGAACAGATGTAGGAAGTGGGCGTCAGTGGCAAATGATAGCATGAGATGGTTGAAGCTGGAGAAGCCCAAGAGGGTCCCCAAGTCCAAAGGACAAGTGTGGAGTTAGACCTGAGAGACAGGACAATCGAGGCAGATGCTGGGAAGATCCTAGAGGGTCAAGAGGACCAGAGCATAATGAAGCAAGGGAGTCTAAAACCATCCCCTCAAAAACTCGACCATCCTTGCCATGGGAAGCTTAGCTGTGGTTCAGTGTAAGGAAGGGGTAGAGCTACTCAGTACTTACCTCATAACCTGCTTGTGAAAAGATTTTCCCGAGTGTTTGCAGCTAGCTCGCATAGCAAGTTCCTTCTAGAAAAGTTGTTCCAGGTGCCAAAGCTGATCCATCAGAGACCTTCCTCATTCGAAGGGCTACTTCCCACTGGGAAAAAGCATGATTTGGATGAGTGATCCTTTCCATCAGAGTCCAAATTCTTTATGACTTTGGCAGTACAGAAATTCTAACATAGTCATTTTCAAAGTGGGCTGGAAGGCCACTGGTGGGATTCATGAATTCTCTCATGGATGCAAATTGCTCTCCAAACATGTGAGTCCTTACTTCTGCTTGTCTGAGTGAATGCCACACAATCCTCCAACTGTCGTTTATGAAGAACTCATCGCTTCTTACCAGTAACTTATTAAGTGAATCACTAAGGATGACTGAATTTGGAATTTGCGAATCCAAATTAGTGTGTGACTAGAATACTTTTACTCTGCATTCTATCCCAGACCCCGTCGTCCATGCCACATGGATGGCAATTTTCAAAGCTCCTGCTGGGCATGCATCACTGTGCATGGCCAGAATGCCCCCACTTAGGAGGACACAAGCTCTGTTACCGCTTTCATCAGTTGTTGCTACTATGTTATCCATGTACTACAGTTGGTTGCAGATTATCTGATCTTCTCTCCAGTGTTTAGGATTCCATATTCATCCCATTGGTAGTTGGGGCCCGTAATTGTCTAATAACTAGATTGGAAGAAATGCCTACATTGTGGTTCAGATAGGAATCGTCGATGCCCCTACTGCAAAAGCAAGCGTTTACGCAACACCACCCCTCTCCCTAAAATGCAAGCTACTTGTACAGTGATACTTTGTGCAGTGACACTGTTGCAAACAAGTCACATCTTTTTTCCATTGGAAAGTATGAAAGGGTAGAATCGGTGCAGAGTGAGGTCTATCGCCCCACTTAAGTGGCTTGGAGTAAAAAAATGTCTAAAGGTTATTGCTCCCCTTGGGGAAGGTTTTCTAAGTGTAATTTTATTTTTTTAATAGATTTTAAATTCCTGTGACTCAAAAGTCAACACAATCCTAAAAGGCAGAATTGAGACATTTCATTCCCACTGCTCCCCAGTCTACATGGACCCTCCACCCCACACACTAGAAGTCACCACTGTATTTGTTTCTTGTAAACCCTTCAGTGTGGCTTTATGCAAATAGAGAGTATTTTCTCCAAAAAAGAGGTTTTAAATATTTCACTAATGCACAGAGCTCCCCTGCCCTCACATTAAAAGCTAATGTTAAATAAGGTAGATAAATTCAGAAGTGACCCCAGGAGACTGAAATTGTCTCTGAGGTTTATCTTCCTATGAGTGTCAGCAGCAGTGACCTTTTTAAAATATACCTGGCTCTTGGGAAAACAATAGAATAGTTTTTCCCTGGCTCCCTGGTTCCTCTGCTTCCTCCTGTGTCAACAACCTCCCCAAGGGTCTCTGACAAAGGCTCACCTCCACCTCCAACAAACTCACCTGTCTAGGGGCCCATCACATCAGTGCGTGGGGATGGGTGAATGGATTGTCCTGCGTACAATATTCAAGGAAGAAATGGCTGGCTGGCTCAAATCAAGTTTCTTCCAACTGGAAACAGTCCTTTCAAAATTGATCCAGTGGAGAAACTTGATTCTGGAGCATGTCCCAAGCGTGCAATATCCAGCCTGTTTATGGAGTGTGTATCATGTGCCAAGTGTTATGGCAGGTGCCAGGAGGAAGGGTGAGCAGGACACAGTTCCTGCCCTCATGGGTCTCACAGCCTAGGGAGAGGTACAAGACATTGTTATAAGAGCCTTGAGGAGGGGCCCCAAGCTAGGGTGGAGAACTCAGAGGCTTCACAGGGGAGGCCTCATCAAAACTGTGATAAGAGGGGCAAGAAAGCTCAGCCAGACATTGGGGGGGGGGCCTGAGGTGACGTTACATGCTGAGGCCTCGGCATGAGCAAACCAGTCCCATTCCTCCTCTCCAACTGGGACCTTGTGGAGAAAATCCTGGTGATCGAAGGAGTGACTTTAATGGAGGTATAGGGGCAGCAGGAGTTGGAGGTGTTTGGGAGAGGGTGGGGGTGTGGAAGCCCTCACATCACAACACTCGTCCTACTCTGTGCCAGGGCAATGGGGGGGGGGGCGGTGGTACCAGCCAACAGTCAGGAAATTAAATGCCTTCTCTCCTGAGGACCCTCAAGTTTATTCCAGGTACTTCATATTGCTTTGGAAACCTCAGAAAATGTCATAGCAATGGTAACTTCCAGGGAAAGGCCTCAAAATGTCCATGAGTCAGAAGGTGAATCAATCAGGTTCCCAACAGAAAAGCAGATGGCACATTCACAGCAGGATGACCTGGGGAGGGGTTATTTATAAAAGTGTGGGTGTGGGGGGGGCACAACCAGTGGTACAATGGCTGGGGCCTCACCACTTTCAGGCCCAAAGGAAGGAGATTGGGGGTAGGTACCAGAATTTGCAGGGAGAGGGTGTCTTGGTAGGCTCCTGGGTCTTGAGAGGAGCAGTGGCCTTTAGCAGAGGTGATCTTGCAGAGAGAGAGCCAAGGGGCATAAATTCCTCAACCTCACTCTCTTTCCTTCTGGCAGGCCTCCCACATAGCTGAAGCCAGCCCTAGGAGAGGACACAGGGCCTGCCAATATGGTGCTGGACACAGAGCAGTGTGGGGCAAAGATCCGGAGGGGCATAGGTGGCAAGAAGACAGAAGGAAACCCACCAAGGCCTTGCTTGACTCAGGGCAGTGGGAGACTGGACAAGCTTTTTTCTCTTCTTCATGCTTTTCTCTGCTTTTCTAATATTCTCAAAATGAGCACATGTGACTCCTGGAATTGCAGAAACTATGATTTTTAGATTTAAAAGGCCCAAGCACCAACCACATCAACAACCATAACAGCAACAAGGAATGTGGACCAAGGAGGCCCCACTGGGCAGTACAAATGCCTTTATTAATTAGAGCAGAAAAGGGAGGCCTCACAAAAAATTCTTTCCCAGTTTGAACAGCCAGCTGACGCTTTCCCACAGGATACTGACCACAGAGAGAGCAAATGCAACTTGCATTCTCAACTAAGCCCTTGGGAAGAAGAGTCCCTGGGCTCTGAAGAAAGTGACACCCAAGCCCGTCTTGCTTCTCTGAAGTGAAGCTTGTGTAGAGGGAGGGCGTCATAGGGGAAGCCACTCAGCATTCCAGGGACATGGGTTCAGTCCCCAGCTCAGCCACTTCATTGTGGGGGGACCTCAAGCAGCAGACTGTGAGTGCTGCCTCAGCTCCTCCCCTCCTGAAGGCACCGTGAGGGCCCCCGGCCTTGCTAATTGCCAGAACTTCTGCAAATATTACTTGCAAATGAAGGAGAGGAGGGCACAGAAGATAATAGCCACCACAAAAGGCAAGACCAAATGTCCCAACTGCTCCCTCTTTCATGGCCCACAACATCTAGGAGGCCTGCAGCACCAATGGCCCTTGGACAGAAAGAACACACCTTCAGCTTGGGTGAATTGAGGAGAAACCCATGAGCCAGAGGCAGGTGCAATTGAGTCCTCTATGTTCCATCAGATGGCCTTTCTATCTTCTCTTGTTTCTCTGCCTTCTTCACTCCTCAGCTCCCTGGACTCAGGGAGCCCAGACCCTGACCATGAGTTCTCTTGTGCAGCTCTCTCCCTACTTTCAGGGTGGAGGTATACCCTCAGGTTTGGGGCTTTCAGAGACTTCAGAGGACAGAATCTATGACGCCCACCTTTCTCTTACTGCCTCAGCCACCTTTGGCTGTGCAATTTCAGTGTGGGATTGTACTAAAAGTCCCCTGTCCCTTGAGGAAGGGACAAGATGGATGAGGCCAATGGAAACCCTATCTCACCACATGAGAAAAATCATGGCTGAAGAGGGTGTGAGAAGGAGGCAAGCCAAGGTGATGGAAAATTCACAATAAAGACTGCATGAAGCCTGAAAATGTGTTCACATTTTGTTATAGTCCTCAATCTCTTTGACATGCAACACACTCACAGCTAGAGCCTGAAGGTTTTAAGGCCAAAGGGAAATGAAGGGGCCAAGGAAAACTCTTGTTAGATGCTAGACCCTCCTCAGACCCTCTCACCTCTCATGACTTCCACTACAGCTGGGAGAGAAGAGAAGGAGTCATATGCCAGCCCCTCTTGATACTTGAAGGCATTGCACCTGTCTTCCTCCCTAGTTTAAATAATATAAGCCGACCCCCAGCATTTTTGGTACTGAGAAAGGGTGGGTGCTGGACACAAGGACTTCAGGAAGAGAACAAGGTCTGAAAATGGAGCACTTGTCCTTCCTGCAGGATGGGGCTGTGGCTAAAAGTATGGATTTGGAGGTCAGATTGAGAAGGTCCAAAGCCCATCCCCTCTGCTTCCTGTCACCACTTGGGCCCTCTGATCTACCACTATAAATAGGATAACCAGGCCTTAAGTGCTTCCTAAGGCGATGCAATGTAAAATACATAAGACCAACTTGGACACATCCTTGCCTTAAAAAAATTGACCCTGAAACTAATCAAGCCTCTGGATCTCTTTAACAGTTTACAGAAAATATAGGGATTGAAGAAGAAATTAAGCAACACTATAAAGACACAATCAGCCCAATCCAGAATGTGGGATGTTCTACAAGATAAATGACCTAGCAAATCAACAAATCAACAGCATGGAAAAGGGAAGAAAAGATACACGAAAACAATGGATCGTGGATCACCACATCAAAAACTAATGATGTACTGTATGGTGACTAACATAAAATAATAAAATTTAAAGATTTATTTATTTAAAAAAAAGAGTAGAAATTTTAAAGAATAAGAAAGACCCAAGAGGGGAGCCTGGGTGGCTCAGTCGGTTAAGAGTCTGCCTTCGGCTCAGGTCATGATCTCAGGGTCCTGGGATCGAGTCCCGCATCGGGCTCCCTGCCTCAGCGGGGAGCCTGCTTCTCCCTCTACCTGCCCCCCACTCCGGCTTGTGCTCTCTCTCTCTCCCTCAAATAAATAAAATCTTAAAAAAAAAAAAAGACCCAAGAGAGAGGAATATCAAAAGAAATGTGTGAGCCTTGTTTGGGTCCTGATCTGAAAATAGAACAAGACAAGACAAAACAAAACAACCCTAAAGAGACATCTTTAAGAGAACCGATCTAATATTAAGGAATGACTGTTAATTTTGTAAGAGTGAATAATGGTGTGGTAGTTATATTTCTAAGAAGTCCTTACCAATTACAGATGCAGCCTGAAGTATTTATGGCTGAAATGACACGGTGTCCGGGATTCACAGAGTCAGGGAGTAACAGAGGACAGAGTTAAATGGTTGGAGCTGGGCAATGAGTGCCTGAGTTTTCATCATACCCTTCTGCCTACATTGTGTATTCTCTGGAAGTTTTTATAGTGAAACCTTTCATGAAGTCACCATTATATGGCTACAAGTCATGTCCGGTGCTGGATCAGACACCTTTGGTGCCACCTCAGCATCTGTTGGGCTGACCAGGGCTTGCATCCATGGCTGGGGGGTAGTTCCCTGCAGCTTTGACCTGCTTCACTTCCAGAATGAGCCACGGGTCTCTCTGACTTGTGGCAGCGGATGCCGGCTTGAGCCTGCTCAGCACATCCCGCACCCCGCCAGGAGGAGCCCCCAAGTGCAGGGGAGTTAGTGTCCCGTGAGCATAAGTCCAGGTGCCTTGCTTTAAAGGTGCATAAACTGGGACTGTGTGAAGGGGAGGGACACCTTCATGACAGCTGGTTGGTGACAGAGCTGGACCAGGGGTTCTGTCTTGATGGCTCCCACAGCACCCAGCAGAGGGCTTTGCCTGCAGCAGGCTCTCAATAAGGATGTTTTGCATGATTAAATAGAGACCATAACAACACAACACAATTAACAATAGAAGGTTCTAAAACTAGGTCTTTTTTTTTTTCCATATGACTGATTTTAAGACCCCGAAGTATTATTTGAGAAAATGAGTACCTGTGAAGGAAGACGGTCTCTTGTGCTCCAGCAATACACTTCCACATCGGTGGTAAAACACCGAGCTTACTGTGTCTTAGCTCTACCTTCAACATGACAAGCCCAAGTGTCCACGCGGGTAGGCGTACCTGCAAACAGGTGTGTGTGTGCTCCATATTGCTGGAGATAAAAATAGCTCATGAGCTTGGAAGAACAATCTGCTTTAATTCCAGGAATTTGAAAAAATGCTTTGTAGTGAAGAACAGAATGTCGGTTTTGAAAGTAATTGGCATTTCCCCCCAAGCACAAATATTTTAAATATTAACATGAGTGAGATAACATGCAGAGGCAACTAACTCCTCCAGCCCAAGTCCTCATGACTACAGGAATCCATTCCTTCTCTTCTCTTTCCACGCTCTCCTGGGGCTTTCAGGGAGCTGCGACAAAAGTGGCAGGATTGCCAAGGTTTGAAAAATAAGCAACTTGGCTATCAGGTAAAAATATACAAAAGATATCCATACCCTCTGTTTTTGTGTAGAGAGCAAGGAAATATTTTTTTATTAGAAAACTGGCAAGCAGAAAGCTAGTTGAGTGATGAAAGTTCCAACTGCGTGGCTAACCTGTTTAGCCAGGACCAGATGGTTCAGAGGGCTGGTAATGAGATCCAAAGTATTCTCTATCTAGGTCAGCGTTGAATCCAGCCTAGGTCACAAATAACAGAGTGGTTTGGCCAGATGTGTGTTCAGAAGCTGATGGAAATGAGAGAGTGATCTGAGATACAGACATATCTGACTTTGGGTCTAAT